ATTAATTTTCATTTATTTATTTTTATTTTAATAAAATGTGTTGAAAACAGATTTTAAAAACAAGAGGCAAAGCTTAATTAATATTTCTTTTGGTTTCACAGCAAACATTTTTTTTACCGAATAGAAATTGTGGAAAATATACGAAAAAAGAAGAAAATAAATAAAGTTCATATCAATTATTATGCTCATTCATAAAAGTGAAATTAGTATTTTTGTTTTGCAAGTCCAAACAGATATGGCACATACATCCAAAGGGCGCGGTAAGTATATCCAATAGCGTTTGGGCTGAATGAGTCGGTAACGTTTAACTGCAATATTTTTCAGTCTAAAAAAAAAAAAATAAATAAATAAATATTAATGCATGAAAAAATATAACAAAAAAAAAGGTAAAATATAATTTTTTATATTTTTTGTTTACATAAGTAATATGACTCTGATATTGATACATGGATTTATTTATTAATTGTTAATCTGTTAGTGAAACATATTAATTTTTTTTTAATTTTGTAACTAGTATGCAAATTAGATAAAAATAAACAAGAAAATAATTAATTTTCTTAAAAAAATTATTTACATAAAATGGCTAAATATTTGCAATTTGATTGAAAAATTAAAACAATATTTAGTAATAGCTCTGTTCAATCAGGCATCAATCAATAACAGCTTTATACGCTTCTATTCGATTTCCCAACAGTCTTTTGATAAGCAGCAGAAAATGTATAGAACTGTGTGTTCTGTGTGGCTTATCAGAGCCAGAGATTACTCCTATTTATGGCAGTAGCTGGCGTCTTAGCCCTAAGACGCTGCCACTAATAAGCTGCCAAAACTAAGCGCATTTGATAAATATATGACAAAAGCCAAACAAATTGTTAGTAAGGGAGGGAGGTAGGGAGGTTGCCAGCAGATTTATTAAGCCAAACACAAACTGCGCACAACAAATTGCTCAGCACACACCTGCGCTGGGCTTGCCCACCTGCCCTGCCCAGCTGGCCTGCCTCTAATGACACGGAAAATCTCTCGCATAAGCCAAATGCCAAGCGAGTGTGTCGGTGGTCAAGCTTTATTTGCCGTTTGCTGGTTGCTGTTCGCTGCGGCTATCAAATGTCACATAAATCAGATTTGTCATTTAATTACAACAACAACAACAACGACAACGACAACAGAAGTTGTGTAAGAAATTTCTTGTCTCCAATGAAGCTTAAGCCTTAGCCTAAGCTGCTATTAGACAGACGCTCTACAAACAAGCCA